GATAAGATGAGGAGGGAGGGAGTGTATTAGATGAAATTACGGTTTCAAATATCATCAACCCATTCATCCATTTTGGTGGATTTGGTTTTTCAACCTATCAACACCCAAAATCCAATGAGGTTGAGGAACTTGTCCCAAAATAAAACCCAAATCATAACCAAACAAAAATAATAAAATAATATTTAAATGGTTAATAAAAGGGAAATAATGGGTAAAATACACAGATTATATTAAATCAACAAATAAAACTAAAAAATAGTCAGAAGTCAAACAAAAATCAATAAGTGTTGAAATTTTTTTTTGGAATTTTTTAAAATCAAAAACTAATTTTTAAATTTAAAGAAATAAGCAAAATAAACCAAAAATTATGAAAAATAGAAAAATTAGAAATAAAAAGGAGATGAGGTCACCAATATTTGTTAAGAGGTCATTGGATCCTTCCATGATTTTTCTAGAATTTAAAAAGACCAGAAAGTATTTTTAAAATAATTAAAATAAGGAAAATATTACAAAAATTATGTAAAATATCAAACATCAAAATAAAAAAATGAAAAAATATTCACAAAGTCAGAAATAATTCAAAGTATTTTTGTATATTTTTTTTCATAATTTTTAGATAAAAAGTAAGAGAGTTATAAGTTTTTGAAATTAAAACAAATTTTAAACAAATCTTTTTAAAATAAAAAATAAATAATAATATGAGGCATTGGATTCGGTTCATTAAAAACACGTTGGCATATATAATGGCTCAAGAGTGATGATGTATGGTGATCCACGGTCAACGAGCGTGCACTGAAGTCACAATAGTCAGACCGATCACAATATTTCAATTGTCCTGCTCTCATCGGTTGAAGAAGCCACATAGGTCATCTTTAACCTCCAGCTATCCTGCAACTAGAGCGAGATCATGATTCTTAAATTTGTAAATTTAGACACTCATAGTGGTATCATTAGATGCGTCTCTTCAAGATGATTACAACCATATCCTCGCACCAAATTTATATAAAACACAACTTACTCGATTTGAAAAAAAAAACATAGATGTTTTGAAAATTTTGAAATCAAAAATAGAAACATCAAATGCACTGATTCATCAAAATTGAGTTAATAGCAAGCACCAGTGAACATCATAAACCATTCCAGTAATTTGATTTAGAAAATTTGGTGCCTTAAACTACCAGAATAAAGTTAGACGAATTTTCTCTGAAATTGGACTTGGATAGCACGATTTAGGAAGCCTTAGGACTTGGTTCTTCTTCTGTTAGCTTCAGTGAAGTTCAAGGATGAAGATCAACAAAGAAATTGGATTGAAAAGGGGAGAAAAGATGAATTCGAAAACTCAGAAAAGTGAAATATGGAGAGAGTTTGACAGGGTGATTTTGGTTGTCCAAGCTTGAGAAAATGAGAGGAGTGAGGTCCTCTATTTATAGGGAAGTGAATGGTGCAAATAATTGAGAGGAAAATTAAAGTTTGGAGGGAAATTGGATGGAGCCCGAAAGTGGAAATATGTGACTCCATGGGCATAAAAACTCAGCCAATTCCCGCGTTTTGATCCTTAATTCAACTTTGGGAACTTTTTTAAACATGTTTTAATCAAAAACGCGTGCTAATTTGGTGTTTAGAAGCTGGATTATGGATTTCAAAATCTGACTTGGAGGAAAATTGTAGTTTCAAATAGCTGACTTTGAACTCATGGTGTGCACGGTTTAGGAAGCCTTAAGAGATGATTCTTAATGCATTCGAAAGATCATGTAACACTCTTTATAATGTGCCAAGAAAGAATTAATTTTGATGCTTGAGCTAGAAGTTATGCTTGGTCAAAATCAGGAAAAATGCGTTGACTTTTATACTTAGAAAGATTCTAAGTTGTTTTCTTTAAAAATGACCTATAAGGTTTTGATTCAAAACAAGGCCTTCCTTAAAAATTGTGCTTTTATCATTGATACTAGCTTCAAGTAGACCCTCTAAAGAGTATTGTGAAACTTATATCTCTCAAAAATTCCAATTCTTGAACAATTATGATCTTATGAAATTGGTGAAAATCTATGAGATGACCTATAATCTTTTGAGCTCAAAAAGCATCTTGCAATCATTTACAAGCTTAGCACCAAAAAGAGAGTTAAATTTAATATTCTTAAGATTATTGTGAAAAAATAATGAGCTCAATATGATAAAAATTGACCAAGTTATGATCTTTTGAAGTCACTCAAAAGAATTTGATGGTCTATCTAGAGGACTTGTAATCTTTCTCAATCATTAGTGATCTTTCATGCTTGAAACTCTTGAAGTAATTTGTTAATAACCCTTTAAAGAGAAACATATATTTGGAATCACTCAAAAATCTCATAAAATGAACAAGATATAGTCCTTAGAAGTTCAAAACCCTAGCTCTTAAAATATCAAAATGACTTGGAACCCCTTTCAACTTTTGACGATCTTTCTTGCACAATTGCTTTTGCTATGTGAAGAGAAGTTGTTGTGGATGATAATAAGAACCCATAGCAACAATAATCACTTCCAAATGTTGAAAATTGAGAAAATTATGCACTTGTAATCAAGGAATCAAGAACTTGTCAAATTAGGTCTAACTTCTTGAATCATTCTTGCATCTCTTGACTTTCCTTAGCAAAGTAGAGCATGACGAGACATAGTAGGCTTTGAAATCATGTTATATTGAAACACACATAAAGATGAAGCTTAAATCTCAATGAAGCTTTGTTGAAGAAGGATGGAAATAAACTCATGAACCTATGAATCAACTTGATGAAATGTGTTGTGTCATCACCTATAATGTCAACATTCATAGAGAAAATATATATTATATTTGTTATTTAAAAGTCAATCAATCATAAAAACGCATGTACAAAACCATACAAATCAAAGTGCTTGGTGATCTCCTATGAACAAACCTAAAGATAGGAAGAAGAACCAAACCCTAGTGTGTGATCTTGATATGATTGGGTTGACATTAAAATGATGAGATCTTAGGAGCAAAAATTGGGGTATAACAATTATGGCCTAGTTGTGTCTGGCCGGGTTGTGCCAGGTCGAGTTGGTTACAGTTACGAAACTCAATAGATAGCGATTACAAACGTTACAAGCAATTATGAGCGGTTACGAACGTTACAATACTTATGAACAGTTACAGACGTTATAAGCGCATTAGTGACCATTAAACCAAGGGCTTGCCTATAAAAAGAGTCCTGGGAGAATGGAAAAGGAGATTGGTTATTACACTTGAGACAGAAACATATAGGGGCTCCCAATAGAAGGATAAGCAAAACACTTATTCTTGAGACAATACGAGCCATAATCGTAGCTCTCAAATCTCCAATCATACCTACAATAATCTACCTTTGAGACTCTTCATATCCCTATAGAAAAGCTACTTGTTTCCTACGCAAGAACATCGACACTCGCCATAGGACTCCAATAAAACTTTCCCAAACCACACAACGATATAAAAAAAACCATACCATTACGTTGTTCTCACAACGATCTGCCATGAACATTATCACACAACACCCATTAATTATAGCTGATTGTAGGCAACAATAACATAGGGGTTGCCTCAATACCAATATTAGTGTACTGAGAACCATCCTAATAGGCATCATCAGTAGCCTCAGAAACCCGCAATCTTGTTGTTTGCATAACTAGAACCGATGCCTCCATCTTCAACAACGAACTTCCCCGGTGTGGTCATAGAAAGCTATCTTACACCCGAAAACGTTCTCGCCGTCGACGGTAGATAACACCAATAGAAGCTGCGGTCAAGCTCAGAAGATCCTTGGCGACTACGAAGAACAAATCCATGTCCGGGAACAATCATCAAATCCGGACTAGGGAAGATCGTAGACATCCTCGACAAATATCAGGAATCGGAGAGAGTGGATCGAGAAACTTCTATACGATTCGATGTTTTGTGAAGAACATGCATTGGCTCCTTTAGATCCGACCTTGGGCGGTTCATAAACTCCGACATAAGAATTTAAACGCCAGATAAGTTCCACATCCCTTTTATGATGATTGTTTCTAAGATTCAGTCTATTGACACCGGATCGGATCCATTATCTCATTTTGTTAAATTGGTATTTCAATGGAACCAGGGGATAAGTATTTGAATCTCTGTGTATACAGACCATTAACAAATGCACACTCATAAAACAAGGATATTTAGTTGTAGCCACTGGCACAGTGCATCTATGGCAGTGTTAGGAATGTACCACATGAATGGTGGAAGCTTATGTTTGGAAGGATGAATCCCCGACGAACTGTTGTAGCTGGAGAAGAAACTAGATCTGAGGTTGAATTGCACAGAGCTGCAAAGCTTTCTAGGTTGAATGACGCATCGGTATCAGTCTTTGTCGAGGCTAACTTGTATCGGTTATCTGTTGCCGCACAGAGATATTCTTGAAACGTTTCTATCTCCATTATCAGTGACTATTAGGCACAGACAATATCATCATTTGGTGGTTGAATGTAACGCTTAGAACTAATGCCTAACTCTATTATTATTTGAGAATGTTATGTGGGAGTATAAGAAATTGTTTCGGCAGAAAAGCTGTTGGGAAGAACATACAAATTATGTCAAGGCACATATAAGATGATTATATCTTACATTCCTATTAGCTCTAGATCGAAGTATTATTATGGAGAACTGAGTAATACCGATTCTCAATATGGTGCGGCATTGGAATCTTGTCAGGATCAAGGGTCAGTAAAAATAGAAGTGAATGAATCATCCAAATTGGAACACTTCATAGTACCAACATCGACACTAGAGATAAGTGATCCTTACCTATTCTTTTAATTAAATTGTAATTAATTGGTGTGCATGTTTGATGCTTGGTCTGTATGATCTGCTTTCCAGTGGTCGGCGGTTTTTACACTATAGCAGCAATTACGAATGGCATGATAATTGTTATTTTGATAACCATAATCATCTCTAAGGAAGTTGTTTTTACTATTGTAATTGCCCATTGAGAAATTAATATTGATTAATATGATCGTATATGATAGATGTGGCAGTGGAGGGATCTAACAGAAATTCTGGGGTGCGTAAGCGGCGATTGATTGACCTCAATCGCTAATTGGCCGCAACATATGTTGAAACCTGCGTGCAACACCATTATCATTGTATTGGCACATAGATGGAGGGTGGCTGGTGAAACAACCAGCTGGAAATCATCAAACAATGAAGTCGTCATCAAATGTTTTTTATCCCACATGAAGGGAAAAGTAAACATTGAGAAAATCTGAGAAATGAGAAGTCACGGTCTTGCGACCAAGAGATCGGATAAAAGAGTCTGTTACGCGAGAGGAAGATATTAGCACCCCACACGCACGTAGTACTCTACGGTATCCACTCTTGTTATCTATCTTATGGGTGTGTCTAATCTATGCTTATTGTTTACTATTGAGGAAGAATGCATGCAAAAGAAAAGAGAAAGAGAAAATAATGTAGGGAAAATAAAGTTGTACTCGCTTGGGCCCTACCCCAATGTCTGCGTATTCTTTTTGAGGAATCAGAGTTACCGTAGTTCGGCTCACATGCTTTGTTTGTTTGTGTATTTTATGAACAATGTTAATTCCGCCTTCTTCTGCAGCTCGACCTTTGGAGACTCACGCGTTGGCACATAAGTAAATTAATCATGTCCTTACTTGAAAATGATTTTGAGTTACGCCCTCAAGGCAAGATTCTATATTTGATTAGTTTGTATTTTGTTATCTTGAAAAAAGATTTAAGTGTGATTAGCATGTTTTATTTGCTAAGAGAAGGAAGTTTTAGTTTTAAATGCATATGCAAAAGGGAGAAAACAACGAAGGGAGACTAGGCTAACATTACCCTAATGTTATCATATAATGGTGGTCCTACGTCAATGATGAAAGGGAAATTTCTACCTAATGTTAGCATGCATGGCTTACAACCTAAGGTCTAACTTGCATCCGAAAGGAACAAGTACATCCTAAGGGAACATGGTATGTATAAGGATAAAACAAACAAGCTCGAAAGAGCACACACATAAAATAGTAAGGAAAAGAAGCGAAATGCTTTAGCCAAGGGGAGCGTATCACTCGAGACAAACAAGCGGGAGTAGGATGTAAAACAAAAATGTGATGTCCAAAGCGACTGAACACCTAACCAAGATATATGAGATCGAGGTAGGCGACAGAAGACAATATGAGCGATCATGGAGTGTCAGCATCAGCCAATGTGAACTCCTGACAAAGCGTGATGGTTTGATTGCAAAACCTTCCCCACTTGACGGACTCGATACACAAGAGCACGCACAACTCTGAAGCATTATGGTGCGTCACGAGCTAAGGATGACACAGATGAAATTGCGACGGTTGATTACTAACCCTCCATGCTCGTCTCTTTTTGATGACTTATCATCTGTACATATGCGAGCACAAATATAAACACACGAGCGGAATACCTACTCAAAGGTAGGATTTTAAACAAACCACACACAAGTAGCACACATAATGCACACAATGAGAAATTGTCCTAAACGGGTCTTTAAATAAACCAGAGGGATTCCTGACATGATCAGCAACAGAGATCCCCGTCATACATCTCTGCCCTATTTCTCATGGCATCATAAAGCAGTAAATCCATACTTCTCATGATCTCTAGAAAAGCGGTAAAATGCGGAAATGAGGAATAAAAGTGAAGCCACGATGATCCCTAACGGAGAAGGTCTGTTGCCTCTTCAAAACCATACAAGCGATAAGAAAACTCTACTGAAGTTGCTTCACACAAGTGATCAAAGAATTAATATCCAAGCACTCCACATTGCAAATGTTACATCGATATTCTATCACAAAATCTTGGCTAAAAATGGCAACAAAAATGATTAATAAACATAAAAGCAATAATAGAAAATTCTAAAGAGAAAACCTAAGAATTCTAAAATATTTTCTAAAATATTCTAACTATTTTTTAGATTATTTTGTCATGTAATAAAAATTAACAAAAGCCGATAAAAGAAAATTGGTTAAGAAAAATAAAATGAAAATGTAAAGAGTTCAAGGGAGTGAAAACTGAAGTTATGGGTGCAGTAATCAAGGCGCAAGCCCATCTGCAGAAGTGATCCATGAAGAGCATTTTTTGTTTGCAGCATTAGTGTCAAAAAGGCTTCAGGCTTGAAGAACGGTGCAATTCGACCAAATAGAACGGTTTTGGCCCGATCCAACACATTATCCATAAAATTTATGACACTTTTATTGTTTTTGATATTGTTAATTAAAAACAAGGAAATAAAGAGTGGATACAAGGGAAAGAAACGCAGCGTTTGATATTTTAGGTCAAACCTTTGTGACTCTTCAAATGCTCTCAAAAGAACAATACCCTTCCCTCTTTCACTCTTCGCGGAGGCTCTGGAAAGTGCGGCCAACTCCCTCCTTCTCCACAAATGGCGTCGATTTCTCTCTATCTGCGGCCGTCACCAGAACTCTTATTCTCCATCTTATTCGAAATCGTGGCAGTTACTCAACCCTTGCATCTCCGTCTCAGCTCTCAACCTCACCGTTTTCACAATCGTATGATCTCCTTCTCATCTCTCGGCCTCAACTTCCGTCTCGTTTCATCTCATCTCAATTGAGGATCGTCATCTCTACCGGAGACGAGTCTGGCGCCCTTGTTTGACGATGAAAGGGACAAAGAAATCTAGACACACTGATGCGAACTGAAGACGTGAAAAACACAAGAAGGGGGGGGGGGGGGTTGAATTGAAAACTTAAAATCAAATGCGCAAAGACACAATATTTTTATCCTAGTTCGTTTGATCTCAAACTACTCAAGTCCACCCGTTAAGGTGATTTCGCCTCTCTCCAACGAGGACTTAATCCACTAATCAAAAATTGATTACAATCACTACTTTGACAACTATCAAAGTCCTCTTGAGTACAACCACAACCCGGTTAATCTCAAGGAAAAATTGGCTTAATCAAGATAAAAGAATTCTGTGTATGATTGTTTTTCTTTACAAAAATAGTTATCACAACTGTGATATTTTACACAATTTAAAGCGTAGAAAATGAGTATGTAAGCTTGCAGTGTTTAGAGATGTATTGCAGTCGTGTTGAAAATCGTGAACGATTTGATCTCTTAGCTTGTTTATATAGGCAAAGGAATCATGTCCAACATAAAGCGTGATAATGGACATTTAAATAGTTTCCATATTGAGAAGATTATTGTCTGAATGAAGTCGTTGCATGTGATGTTGTCTTGATTGAATAGTAACGCTTCAGAATCTTACAATCTTGCATGCTGCAAATGCTTCAGAACATTGATGACTTAGAGAAGTGAGGATCTGATTGTTTATGATCCTTCTGTTCAGAATCAGAGTTTTCTTCACTTCAGCGCAGGTTCTGATCATCATTCTTCAGCGCAAATTCTGATTACCTCAGCGTGAAAGCTTCTATAGCTTAACTTCTGATGCTGCAAAGACACAATATTTTTATCCTAGTTCGTTTGATCTCAAACTACTCAAGTCCACCCGTTAAGGTGATTTCGCCTCTCTCCAACGAGGACTTAATCCACTAATCAAAAATTGATTACAATCACTACTTTGACAACTATCAAAGTCCTCTTGAGTACAACCACAACCCGGTTAATCTCAAGGAAAAATTGGCTTAATCAAGATAAAAGAATTCTGTGTATGATTGTTTTTCTTTACAAAAATAGTTATCACAACTGTGATATTTTACACAATTTAAAGCGTAGAAAATGAGTATGTAAGCTTGCAGTGTTTAGAGATGTATTGCAGTCGTGTTGAAAATCGTGAACGATTTGATCTCTTAGCTTGTTTATATAGGCAAAGGAATCATGTCCAACATAAAGCGTGATAATGGACATTTAAATAGTTTCCATATTGAGAAGATTATTGTCTGAATGAAGTCGTTGCATGTGATGTTGTCTTGATTGAATAGTAACGCTTCAGAATCTTACAATCTTGCATGCTGCAAATGCTTCAGAACATTGATGACTTAGAGAAGTGAGGATCTGATTGTTTATGATCCTTCTGTTCAGAATCAGAGTTTTCTTCACTTCAGCGCAGGTTCTGATCATCATTCTTCAGCGCAAATTCTGATTACCTCAGCGTGAAAGCTTCTATAGCTTAACTTCTGATGCTGCTTTGGTCAAAACTTCTGCATACAAAATAACATAAATTTAGAGTGCATGCTCAATGTGTTTTCAAAATTGTTTGTTTGCTTTTCAATGTGGGTTTTAAAAAGTTTCTTTGAAAAATTTCAGTTCGACTCATACGTCAGAGTGTTTGAAAAGTTTGTTTTGAAAGCTTTTGAAAACGTGTTGGTGTGAAAAGTATGTTTTGTTTTGCTTGAAATTAGAGCAAGTATCTACGAGAACCTACCTACCCTAAGGAATTCGTCTGTGTAAATGTCCTTTAAAGTAGTGCCATCCCACCATTGAGAGGTAGGTAGCACCACCGTTGGAGGTGTTCGGGTCAATTCGAGTTTATAGGGACATGGTGATCACCAGAGCAATGGGAAGACACCTTAGAAGCTACCCTCATGCCAGGTTCCCGGATCATGAAGACTTACTAAGACATCCTCTACTCGACGATCACCTTTCGAGGCAAGGCAACAGTGAGGCGTACCCTAGGGGTGGTGTGTGCGATTCGTGTGTCGTTTTCATTTGTATTTGTCTTGTCATGTTCATTGTGATCTACGCTTGATTTTATTATTGTCCATACATTCTTTCATGCTTGGTTAACAGTTAATATTTGCGGGAAAATAAATCTAAACTATCACAAATGGCGCGGGTCCACATCGCCAAAATTAAACCGGACCCGATTTGACGGAAAGTAAATAAAGCAAAAGAAATAAAAGTGCGAGAAGTTAAATTTACAACGCTTTGGGAGAAATACATAATTATTTAAGCAATAAAATAAATACGCGAAATTAAATAAATTACGAACGAGGGCGTTGGACCCTTTTGCAAATTAAATTAATTAATAATTAAAATTAAGATTAAATGAAAATATTTTTTTTGGTATTTTGTGTTTTTTAAGATTTAATGGAAAAAAGGGAATTAATTATAATTAAAATAAAATGTCAAACCCTAATTCTAATTATTTTTAGTTATTATGAAAATGTTAAATTAACCTAAATTAAACCCTAAATTCTTTTATGTACAATTTAATTATGAAAATAAAATAAGTAATATTATTATTATGACCAAAAGAAAAATTAAAAAAAAAGGAATAAAATTCATTAAACCTAAATTCTATATTTTTTATATTTTTATGAAAAGAATTAAAGTTGCAACCTAAATTAATACTAAGTTAATTTACATGTTAATTTATTTATGAAAATAATTAAATTAAATATTTATTATATTTGTCATCTTTTCTGATTTTTAAGCCTTTTTTTGTATTTTGTAAAATAATTGATCAAATTAAAATAATAAAGAAGATAAGATAACAATTTAAAAAAAATAAGAAAGACAAAAAATAGGAAATTGCAAACCAGTGGGGGGTTCAGTCCCAATTGTGAGGTGTAGGCCTTAGAATGCTGGCCCAAAACCCTGAGTCCATTTGACTTTTGTGAGTAGCGTGTGGGATGGTTGACCTGAGCTTACAGTGGACCTTCAATCTCAGCCTTTGATCTAC